AAAATTGGAATGAATACATATTAGAAGAAATATATAAATTACAAAAAAAATTCGTTCCTATGTGGGAAACTTTAAATGGCTATCAAGCTTTACATGCAAACGAATGGGCTATGATAGGATGGTTTACTACATTATGTATAATATATTATCATTGGTTACCTATGTATACAGGTATCACATATTTAGATGGATGGCGTAAATTTGAAAAAATGCGTTCTTTTTCACATCCATCTTGGAATACTTTTTTGTATATTTTAGTTCATAATAGTATTGAATCTTCTTCTCAACAAGTCCGATTAACAATGTATGCATCAAGAGGATGGATAATATGGCTACAAAGTCAAATTTTTTCATATTTACTTGGTAAAACATTTCTATCAAATTGGTTATTAAATACTAGTAGTAGAGATTTGCCAAGAAGCAAAAAGAATTTAGTTGTCAATTCCCTAATTACTCAAAAAACTTTATTAACCAAATATAGCTTATCAGATACTAATAGGTTGATAAATCAAAACCATCTATCTTTTCGTCAAGATAAAACATATGACGGATTTAGCTATTTGGAAAAATGGTCCCATACTTATTATAGGGATCCTAATTTAATGCAATATAATAAATCTTTATCAAACCAATTCCAGTGGTTAACTGATTTGTTTTTTAATATAAAATCTTCACCTATTAAATCACAACTGGAATTAGATCATTTTTCATTAGTAGACAAAAGGAAAATACCTAAAAATTTACCAGAACCCATTTTATCAACCAAAAGATGGCTTTTAATAGGAGCACCAGAAACCGGAAAATCATATTTAGTAAAAAATCTTGCTGCAGAAGCACATTTGCCATTAGTTCATATATCTTTAAAAGATATACGACATGCGACACCTGATTTCAAATATAATAAGCTGAAGCAAGATACTCAATTGATTGAACAATTAGCAGATAGAGGATTTTTAGTAGAGAATATTTTAGAATTAGCAAAAATGTTAGCTCCTTGTATATTATGGATTTCAGATCTACATGAATTTCATGCAAAACACAATTCACACAATCAACCAGGCAAAATATATGATGCTTCATTGCTTTTAACTATTTTGCTGAAAATTATGGGGAATGATCTTTTGCCAGAACGTCAAAGTAATATTACTTTAGTCGGATCTAGTCATAATCCTGGTTTATTAGATCCTAAATTTGTATCCAGACATCGACTAGACTTAATTATTAACCTTCGAAAATTGTCTTTTGGTCAACGACAAAAGATATTTGCTAATTTATTAAACCAAAAGAAATTATATATACAAGGCAAACGTTCTTTCTATGAATTAGGAAGTAACAGTATAGGATATAATTTGAGAGACATTGCAGGTTTGGTTAATGAAATGTTATTAATTAAGACAACAAATTGTACAAATGTTATAGATACAGATATAATAAGATTGTCTGTATACAGACAAATTTCTAAACAAAGTGCTAATAATAGAATTTTAGAACACCAATCCTTACAATATAAAATTGGAAAAGCTATAGTACAAAGTACACTGGTTGCTCCAAACCAATATTCCCTCTAACTATTAGACCACGATTTATGGAAAACTAGGTTTTACTATTTATCTAATGCTTTCTTGGAATTTGCATTTGAAAAGTCAACTGTTACAGAATTCGCAATATTAACTCACATCGTAAACTGTTTAGCTGGTTCAGCCGCTCGAGATGCCTGGATTTCATATAAAAGAAATTCTCCTACAAAAAGTATATATCTTAATAAACAATTAAAACATGATTTGTCAATAGCTTCTAGTATTTTACAATCTCTACTCCTTGAATTTCCGATGCAAGATATTAAGTCTTTACCTTGTGTTAATAAATATGATATTTTATCGAATTTCCGAGGAAAATATAAGATTAATCTATTTGAAAAAGCTACATCTTCTTTAAAATTTTTCAATCGATTTACTAGTTATATTTATTGGAGTTATAGAATACAACGTTTAAGTTTAAGTTGGAATCTATTGTTTGATAATATTAAAAAGAAGAGAAAAAATATCATTTTAGAATCATCCTCTGATGATATACAAAATAATATTGATACGAAAATATTAGATGATGATCTTGAACAACATTTACCTTATGAAAGAAGAGTAATAAAAAGACAAGAAAAACGTACAAAGAAAATTCATTATTCTTTTAATGAAATGGTGTTTGATTCCAATTTAAAAAGTATGGGATTACCGTGGGCTTCTGAATATGTAATAGATTATGATGCATTACAATTATCAATTTTATTGTTAGAAGCACGACCCATATGGAATCCACCTGCATTAACACCCGCTTATTCCATTTTATTCTTTGATAGAGATCTTCTCATTAGCAAAAATATTCTTACAAAACTTTATGTTACATATGGAGAAAAATTTCAAAGTGAAAAACTAAACCCAAAACGGATTAAAAAACAAATTCTTTGGCCAGATGCTAAAATTCATAATTCTAATATTAATGAAAAATCAGCAAAACAAGAAGAGAAATTTGATGGTGATCTACAGGATTTTCATTATTTTAGAAAAATGGCAAAAGCTAACGCTCAACTAGAACAATCACAATTACAGGCACCTATTTATTTATATCAAGGATGGACCAGTACTGATTATGAAGATAATTGGCGTTCTTCCGATTTATTACATCATAGAGAAACTTTAGTTAATGAAAAGCTACAATCGAGAGAATTACTAATTTATGGTATTCTTTTAGAAATTTATCATTCTTTATTAAAGTTTTTTATTAGTAATTATTCTTTACTTAGTAATATCGAATTCGCTTTAATGAAGAAAGGAACTTTAAATCGTGAAGATATAGAAAGAACTATTCATATAGCAAAATTTTGGTCATAAAGAGTTAGATCATAAATTCAACATTAGTATACAATTCGGGATTGACGGGATTCGAACCCGCGACTTCCGCCGTGACAGGGCGGCGCTCTAACCAATTGAACTACAACCCCCTAGTGCATTATATATTCTTGCTTTTCTTTGTACCACATTCTTTTATAAAAAGCAACTAGTAATCATAAAAAAATAGAATTTTTCTTAAATCTATGCCCTCACGTATAGAGCGCTTAGTTAAGCGCTCTATACATTAGCCATTAAGATGCAGATTTAGAAGTATATCCGAAAACTTGACTGAATTTTTCTTTGACTAATAGACCCGAATCAATAGATTCTAATGGATCTTTACGTAATCTATGTCGTAAGCATAATGGAATAATAGTTAATATGTCTTTAGGTGTAACTTGGTCACGTCCTCCCAATGCGGCTAATGCTTTCGCAGCACGATTAGTGACAATATCTCCTCTTAAACCATCGACATTTAGTTCTGCACAAATTTTAGATATATTTACACGCAAATCATAATCTATTTGCACTTTTGGTAGACGTTCTCTAGCTTGTTGTATTTGTTGACGCAAATTTTCTTGAGATATTTTGTATGCATCTCTAAATGTTCTAGGATCTTGGTCAAAAGTTGCTCTTTGTTCTACAATTTTGACTCTTAATTCAGCATCTTTAACAGTACCTACTTGAGCATGCATTCCAAATCTATCCAAAAGTTGAGGACGAAGTTCACCTTCTTCCGGATTGCCAGATCCAATTAAGATAAAACGAGCAGGATGTGAAATAGAAATACCTTCTCTTTCAACTGTATTCCATCCAGAAGCAGCTGCATCTAATAATACATCCACTAAATGATCATCCAATAAGTTTACTTCATCGACATATAGAATACCTCTATTTGCCTTAGCTAATAGACCGGGTTCAAAAGCTTTAACTCCTTCTGTTAAAGCTTTTTCTATATCAATAGTACCACACACTCTATCTTCAGTTGCTCCAAGGGGAAGATCAACCATAGAAATTTTAGTGTTTACAACACGAATCTCTTGGTCGCGTCGAATTTTTTCTCTTACTTCTTCACTCATTAATTCAGGATCACGAGGATCTGAATTAAATGGATCATCAACCACCACTTCAATTTCTGGTAAAAGATCTACAAGTGCCCTTACAGTAGTTGATTTCCCAGTCCCTCGATCTCCCATAATCATAACACCACCAATTTTAGGGTCAATAACATTCAACAGAAGTGCTAACTTCATTTCTTCTTGACCTACAATTGCAGTAAATGGGAATACTGGACGTTGTGTGTCTTCTACTAATTGTGTATCCATAAATAAATAGAAAATATCAATTGAATTCTGATAAATGTTTTTAGAATATCTCTGTGTATAAAGAAATATAAGAATTATGAGGAAATATTATGATTCTCATCAAAATAGTATACAAAGATGTTTGAAAAAAAATATTCCTCTTTATGAATATGATACATGAAGTAAATTCTCTTGACAAGACAAAAAAAATATTCTTCTTGTGTAACAACTATTATTCTAAACAAATGAGACTATAAAAAGACAAAGAATCATAAGAATTTTTGAAGAAATAGGAGATCCTGTTTCTTAGGCAAATTTGATTAATAATAAATTCTATTAATATGAGAAATCCCTTGCATATAAACCCAATCTTATGATATTATGTTACGTAAGCGGGTATAGTTTAGTGGTAGAAGTGCGATTCGTTTAGCTTCCCATATATTGCTAATTATGGGGTCAATTAGCTAGTCAGATTTTTTTCTGACAACTTTTTCTCTGGCAAAGAAATTCCCCTTTACTATTAATGCAATAGTTCTAGATTATCTCTAGGTGATTCATAGAAATTATTGAAAAATCAATGATATTACCTAAAGCGAGATTTCAGTTGAATCGCTTACTATAGAAAGCTAATTCTAACGCCTCGAAGTCTATGGTTAAATAATTAAGGTTCTAATTCATCGTTACTAAACTAGCAAAGAGAATTCTATCTTTGAAGAATGAGACTTCAAACATGTTTACTTGATTCACCAAGGAAATATGCATATTTCTAGAAGTCTGGTGAGTGAACCATCCTAAAGACTCAACATATCAGAGAAAAGGAACGAATTAATTGAAATGAAACCACAATGAAAAAAGTTTTTTGTTTCAATAGGATCATCTAAGATGTATACCTTGATTTATATTCAAGAGTGAACTGACGTAGATGCTAGAAGTTCCCTTTATTTGCCGTTGTCATGATTCTTTTAAGAAAAAGAAAAAGAAAAAATGATGATTTCAAAAAAGATTGACCTTCTAGAGGAGCTGGATGAAACGAAAATTTCATGTCCGGTTCTGAATTAGAGATTTAGAGTTATATACTAACTCATATCGACTATAACTTATAGCCTTCCAAGCTAATGGTGCGGGTTCGATTCCCGCTACCCGCTATATTCTCATTTTGTCAACACCCTTTTCTCTATTCCTTTTCTATTAGAAAAAATGTCCAGAACTCTTCTTATTTCTTATTATAGATTGAAATTTCCCTTTAGAAAATTAGATACTATATTCAATGGATTTGAAACGCAACGATAGACTATATATTTTTTTTCTGATATATTATGTAATATTATCGCAATACTCATTTTCTCCTTACTAAACCTATATGTAAGCGAAGCGTCCATCGTCTAACGGATAGGACAGAGGTCTTCTAAACCTCCAATATAGGTTCGATTCCTATTGGACGCAATATTAAGAGTTTATTAAAACTGTTAGTTATGAGAAAAGGTATTCTTGCATACCAAAATAGACAAAAATATATCATATGACTAAATATATGCACTTTATTTATATTTGAAAGGTCATATATTTAGTCATATAACTACTTTATCTTAAATTAACGAGCAGCAGCTCCAGATTCTTCCTGTAATAAGAAAGCTTCTGTATGTTCTTGAATAGCTTGCTTCAAAATAGCTTGTGCTTCATCTGTAAAAGTTTTCTTTTCACGAATAATTTTACCAAATTCAGGTTTATTAGTCACGATATAATGACGTAATTCAGCCAAGAATCTTCTAACTTGTGCAACTTCAATTACATCTAAATAGCCATTAACTCCAGTAAAGATAGTTGCTACTTGTTCTTCTACAGCTAAAGGTGCAGCTTGAGGCTGTTTAAGCAACTCACGTAAACGTTGTCCTCTAGCTAATTGGTTTTGAGTAGCTTTATCAAGATCAGAAGCAAATTGTGAAAAAGCTTCTAATTCTGCAAATTGAGCTAACTCTAGTTTCAATTTACCTGCAACTTGTTTCATTGCTTTAATCTGCGCTGCAGATCCTACACGAGATACTGAAATACCAACATTAATAGCAGGACGAATACCAGCATTAAATAAATCAGCTGATAAGAAAATTTGTCCGTCTGTAATAGAAATTACATTTGTTGGGATATAAGCAGAGACGTCACCAGCTTGAGTTTCAACAATAGGCAAAGCAGTCATACTACCTTCACCTAATTGATTACTTAATTTGGCAGCTCTTTCTAATAGACGAGAATGTAAGTAGAAAACGTCTCCAGGATAAGCTTCGCGTCCAGGTGGGCGTCTTAGAAGTAGAGACATTTGACGATAAGCTTGAGCTTGTTTAGACAAATCATCATATACTACTAATGTATGACGTCCTTTATACATAAAGTATTCAGCAATTGTCGCACCAGTATAAGGAGCAAGGTATTGCAAAGTAGCAGGTGAGTTAGCTGTTTCTGCTACAATTACAGTATATTCCATTGCACCACGTTCTTCGAAGGTGTTTACAACTTGAGCTACAGAAGAAGCCTTTTTGTCCAATAGCTACATAGACACAGACAACATTTTGTCCTTTTTGATTTAGAATTGTATCTGTAGCTACTGCTGTTTTCCCAGTTTGACGGTCTCCAATGATCAATTCTCGTTGACCACGACCAATTGGAATCATGGCATCAATAGCAATAAGTCCTGTTTGCATTGGTTCATAAACAGAACGTCTAGAGATAATACCAGGAGCAGGAGATTCAATTAAACGATATTCAGAAGCTGGGATATCTCCTTTGCCATCAATTGGACGACCAAGTGCATTAACTACACGTCCTAGATAGCCGTCACTAACAGGAATTTGAGCGATTTTTCCAGTTTGCTTTAACTGAACTACCTTCTTGGATACTCAATCCTTCTCCCATAAGTACAGCACCAACATTATCTGCCTCTAGGTTTAGAGCAATTCCAACTGTACCATCTTCAAATTCTAGTAGCTCCCCTGCCATGACTTTGTCTAGGCCATAAATACGAGCAATACCATCTCCTACTTGAAGAACAGTACCTATGTTAACAACTTTAACTTCTTGATTATATTGCTCAATCTGTTTGCGGATAATACTACTGATTTCATCAGGTCGAATATTTACCATGGACGTGGTGTGTAATCTTGAAAGTATAGCACCTATATATGTTCTTTTTTCTACTCAGCAGAATTTTCCATAGCTTTAATAAGCCAATATGATAATCAATCATTCTAGCATGTAAATCCATATTCAAACGACTATTAATTACTTCTAAAGCTCTTTCAACTGCTAATCGAGAAACTTGTTGTCGTACTTGTACAATGGCTTTTTGTTCTTCAAAACGAATAGTCATATTTTTTAGAATCTTCTAAACGTTTAGAATCCTCATCAGCAGCCTTGATTAATTCTTCTTTTTCTCTCTCAATTTGCAATATGCTATTAACACGGATTTCTTCTGCTTTTTCTTTTGCTTGTTCTAAACGAGCTCGAGCTTGATTTAGCTTTTCAGTCGCTTCTTGGTAACGTTCTTCTGCATCGCGAATGGTGCTTAATATAGTTTCTTTGCGATTATTTAAGATATTAGTTAATGAAGTAGATTGCTAATCTATGCTAATGCATTAGCTTAACTATCTCTTCCCAAACCGGACATGAATCTTCTCGATTCACCCGGCTCTCTCGTTCACCCATGTGTAATTAAAGCCCGATAAGAAACATGTATATATTCTTTTTCTTGCAACTTATAGAAAAGGCAAAAAAGACATGTTTTTTGTATCCTAAATGACTTATACACAAATGTTTGAACGTACCTTTCATTGCAAATGCGATTTCAAGGTTCTCCTGACCATTTGTTTTTGATCAGCACGGTTGTTTTCTTCGAATCACTATAAAAAATCTTAAGGTTGTCTATTTAGTATATTGTTATCAAGTGTATTTCTTGAATATATTCTGGAAGATTCTGACTGATGAATTCATTGAATGAATTCCCTTATAATCTCGATACGAGTGTTCTGTACCGAAAAAATCTCCAACAAGGTTAAGATTTGTAATTATCTTATTGAGCAAAGAAAGCTCCAGCAATACTTAGACTTCAAGCAATAGAGCCTTAACCTAGTAGATTTTTCCTCATTATAGAAAGTTATAGTGTCTTTAACTTAATATTCAACGAAATGCTTTTGGTCCATACAAAGATTCTTCTTTGTGAGTCATTCGTGAGGATCATACACTTTATAGTCAGAGTGTAGTTGGATTTTTTCCAACCATGTCATTCAAATATTCATCCCGCACACACTCCCTTACCAAAGTAAACTAATACATCCGATCACTACTGCTAAATTGATCAAATTAGTATCTAGCAAATTGGTATTGAGGCTTAGCCCCTCATTTGCCAGAGCCCAAGAATCCAACGAAGCAATCAAGTCAATTGCGCTGTTCATACCCTGTTTCTCCAATAAGGTCCATTTTCTACATAATGCTACTTATATGAGGTTTAACTAAAATGTCAGGAAATTTATATTACCTCATGATTTAAGTTCTTGGGTCTAGTACATCTTCTTATACGTATTATGTAATAGCAAATATTAGAATGAGTTTTTCAACTAGATTAATCTCCTGAATATCAGAAAAATATGTATAAAACAATATACCAAATGATGCCGATATGCATTATTTCTCATTTGTAATTTAGAGCATTCTTGTTTGAACATAGATTCTCTTATGATCAAAATGAAAAGCATACAATCGGCATCTTTCCCCCAAATAACTTGTTTTTCCCTATGCCTGTCTACTTAAAGTCAAAAATCAACTTCAGTCTTTCTATGAAACATAGTCATAGCAAAACCTATGTGCTAGACAAGCTAAAAGCTTTGTGTATAGAACTATACAAAAGGATTTGCAAATAGAAGAGCTAAAGCTACTACTAGTCCATAGATAGTCAAAGCTTCCATGAAAGCCAAACTAAGTAACAAAAGTGCCTCGGATCTTACCTTCGGCTTCTGGTTGTCTTGCAATACCTTCTACAGCTTGTCCAGCAGCAGTTCCTTGTCCAATACCAGGACCAATGGAAGCTAGACCTACAGCCAACCCAGCAGCGATCACGGAAGCAGCAGAGATCAAAGGGTTCATTACTTTTCTCCTTCAAATAAGACCAAGGAGGCTGTGGTATTCTACAAGTCTCCCCGTGTATGCCTAAATGTACAAACATTTTAGCAATTAGTAACTCATGATGTCTCTTGGGTGTGATAGTAGCACCAAAAAGCAATGTCAATAAACGTTTATCTTATCATACCATGTAGAACACAGTTCTACCAATTAAAGAAAAACATTTATAACTTAAACTGTCTCTAAAAAATACATAATACATATCATATAATGTATTTCTTTGCAGCTTTTGATAACAGCAACTTGAGTATTTTCTAAGATAATTAGACAATTCTCATACAGAGACAGCTAAGCTTAGAATAGGAGAATCCTATTCTAATTCTTACAAAAAAATCAACTAATTATCTATATCTTTTTGGTTGAAAAGATATACACAGAAGATCGTTTCTCTTGATAAAACATGATGATAATAATCATCATGAACTAAAGAAAATAGAAATAATACATTTATTTATGTGCTTGCTGTAACAGGGAAATACAAATTGTTTTTTTGATTTAGTTTCAAAAAAAATAAAGATGAACTAATTTTAGTTTCATGTTCCCTATTTTACAAATTTCTTCTAAAAGGTATTATAATCTATGTTTGCAAGTTGTCAACAATAAGAAGTTATATGTATATATTCCTTCTTCTAAGGAGATTGCAATGTTGTCAAATCCAACTTTCACTCTTTATATCAATAATTTTTTTGTATATCAGATAGAATAAATTCTATTCGAACCACAACAAATATGGGAGTAGACTACTCCCATATTTGTTTTACCAACTTGATTTAGTTACACCAGGTAATAAACAAGCATGTGCCATTTCACGCAATACATGTCTTGACAAGCCAAAGTCACGATAAACTGCTTTTGGTCTTCCTGTTACAAAACAACGACGAGTAATTCTATTAGGCGCACTATTT